TTATTCTTTAGGTGCATTAGCTCATAAGGTTTTGCAAAATGTTTACCTGTTAATTTTATCCTTCCTTTATTTGTTAGCTGCAAAAAGCTCCATAAGGACAAATTTCATCATGCACTCGATTATGGAGATAGGTAGTTCATTCAGTAAAAACGAGATGGGTGATTCCTATTTCTCTTGTCAGGTTTCAAAATAATAATTTGGATTCCCAGTATCTATCTTCTAGAGGCAAACAATTGTAGGGTGCGGTTTTTATTGCTGTTGTTGTTTTGTCTTGTTGCTTACTATAAACTCTTAGGTTTTCATTCACTATCTGTCTTTTATCCACTACAGGTATCACTATCATTACTACTCACAATCTGCCAAGTTTGGTGACTGGGAAATTCTTTATTCATGCTTAGTAACACTGCTCATATGGCCTAATGATGCATGGTAACTTTTTGGTTTTCTGGTATCTGGTTTGATAGCACGCTTCCAGGTTCCTCTTGGACACTTCTTACCTCAGACATGGAATCAATCATTTCTCCCCAAAAGCTCTGGTAGTTAGCAATTGCAATTAGGGTACTATAGGTACCCATTTATACTTGTCTACTTGTTATTTCTAACTAAGCCTTTGTGGTGGGAAGAACTACAAAATGTGTGTTTGCTTTATTGGTTACAAGACATTTATTTAGTTAAGACAGAGCATATCATTATTTCACATTTATATTTCCAGTTAAAATTAACAATTTTCACACAGAAGATCAAAATAAATGAAACTTTTTTTTCTGTGGTGAGAATCCAAGGTCTGAAAAACATGAGGGACAATACAGAAAGAGTATGATATAGTTTATATGCACTAACTAAGTGTAACAGGCTCAATGATAAAATGCCTAAGAATAACAATTTTAAAAGAGAAATGCTTTATTTTGGCTCACAGTGGCATTTTGGTCAATGTATACCTGGCTCCATTTCTTTTAGGTTGGAGGTGAGGCAGAATAAAATGGCATGATAGCCAACTCCTCACCTAATGGCAGTCAGGAAACAAAAAGAATGATAGAAAAGGGCCAGGGACAAGGTAAACTCTTCCAATGACATATTTCCTCCATATAGTCTCTAACTCTCAGCAATACCATTAGATTCTGAAACCGTCAAGAGATTGATCTTTTGACTAGGTCAGAGTCCTCATTTTCCAGTCACTTGTCTGTCAGTGGAACCACCAGCAGAAAACCAAACTTTCAACATATGAGACTTTTGGGGAGACATCTCATATCAAAACCATACTACCTACCACAAATTGAAAAGGTTCAGAATAATCTGTTTCAATCCATTTTTCTCTTAAAGTATATCCCATTAGAGATGTACAGTCAAATTATTATAGTTTGGTCACTTGTAATATTCCTTTCTGTGTGGCTCTTCTATCAACCGGATAGCTATTTAGGTTCACTTCTTCTATTTCAATGTTTAGGGATTGCTTTCTTTAAGTATTTAGTTTTGTTTTTAGACTCTAATTAGTGACCTAGTTCCAAAGCCAACTATACCAAAGACTATATTTATATATTTAAAGAACTTACGCTTCTATCCATGCTCTCTCTGTCTCTTACTCCTTCACTGTCACTGTGCATAGCTTTTCAATTCATTTAGTGGCATGCCTTTCCCTCGTTTATTTTTATTATATTAAAAATGTTTGTCTATCAGAAAAAATAATTATGTCTTTACCCTTTCATGGATAAATGTACTATTAGTACTTTTTAACATTTAAAATAATCTATAATTCTTTTTTTTAAACTTTAAAAAATTATTGAGAATTTCATACATGAATATAAGGTGTTTTGATCAGCTATTAGTAGTTTTTAAGAACAATTTGACAGTATCTAATTTATTTGAAATGTGTTTACTTGCTTGGGAGCCCAACATTTCCACCCACATGTGGCTATAGAAAGGACATATGTTCTAAAATATTTATTTTTATAATAGGAAAATTAAAAAATGAACAGTAATAAAGATCACATACAGAAAATACAGCATATTTATAACCGTACAGTATTCTATTTCAGTTTAAGTGAATTAATTGAACCTATACTTGTCAACATGATTACTGACATATTCTAAAATATGTTTTGTGGTAGCTTTGCATTTTTCTATCTCTCCAAATTCGAAATTCATTCATAATGGGGCATATAATTGAAGTGTGCATGGTTTGTGCTAAGTATTTTGAAGTCCTCAAGTCTCAAGTTTACCACATTATCCTTTATATCTAAATCAGATAAGTAGATAAGACATATATTAAAAAATAATAAATAACAATAGCACAGCCAAGATCACAATACACTACAGGATTGTGCATAGGATTTAACTTTCACAATTCTTTTAAATATATATATATACATATATGTATATACATAACTAGACATAGACCTTATCACTGACCGGAATACCCTGATTTTGTCTAACCTTGTAGGTCTTACACTACATGTGATAAGTGGAGGCAAAAGGGAAGAGGCAAAGAAAATAGCTCTTCTCTACTTCCTCCATATCTCCAGTCACCCTTACCCACTTCTCTTAGCCATATAATTTACCACTCAAAACTCAGCACTTTCTTCCTTCACAACCTAAAATTTCTTTTTCCTAAAATTTGCCTCATTAAAACAGAACCAGAGAATGTATCTAGAGCACTTCTCAGTGCAGAGGAAGCAAGGGTCAAAATTTATCATTAAAATAAGTGATAACTAGTTGGGCATGGTGGTACATGCCTTTAATCCCAGCACTCAGGAGGCAGAAGCAGGGGGCTCTCTGAAATCCAGGACAGCCTGATCTACAGAGCGAGTTCTAGGCCAGCTGGGACCATGGGAAACCCCTGTCTCAAAAACGAGATAATTACAAATATAAAAATAGGATTTTCTGCATTATTTACCTATACTTTGGCTGCGGTTTAGGTTTAAATACATAGCATATTTCATATGGTAATTCTAGTAGTGTTCAAGCAAAACATTAAAAAATTCTAATGATTTCCCATCTTATTTTTTAGAAAAACCCAAAGTCTAGATATATAGCTTCTTTCTTAATTTCCTTTGACATGTTTTTATTCACAACGTGTAACCACCCAAGTTGCCTGTGTTGATTTCATCCTAATTTTTAAGAATGTATGATTGAAGTAGTTAAATATAATCCCAAGTTACTAAAATAAAAAATGTAAAGCGTGGTTTTAGAGGAATTTTTCTTAAATCATGTATACCCAGCAGTCCCTATCAAAACATCATGTATGTATACATGCACGTATGTATGTATGTATGTATGTATGTATGTATGTGTGTGTGTTTACATCTATATATCTGACTTATTTTTGACACGGCCTGTCATGCTATTTTTTTCTATAATGTTAGATAAATATTTAATTTCTTAGAGATTAAAATACTGTTTCACTTTTCATGCTGTAGGAACATTCAGTATAATTTGGATCACTACAGTAGTTATTTATCTTATTGTTTGTTTTTCATACAGTCTCACTACATAGCCCACCTAGGCCTCTAATTCCCAATCCTCCTTCCTTTGCCTTTCAAGTTTTCAAATGCTGGCCTTACAGGTTTGTGCCATCATGCCCTGCTACTTACTGCTGTTCCAAGTACTTTAAATTATTTATTTATTTTTATGAGTATGATTATTTTGCTGGCATGGATATGTACCTGTATCATGCAGTACACATAAAGACCAGAAAAGGGCGACAAAATCCCCTAGAACCCAGGTCCTCTGCAAGAGCAACCAGAGCTCTTAACCGCTGAACTATCTCTCCATCCCCTGTTACAAGTTCTTTAACCATTTGAATTAAGAGGGATTTACTTCTAGAAAATAAAATAGCTTCCCAATGTTCTGTTTAATCATATTATTTGGATTTGAGCTATTCTTTTTCTAATTTTATCACAGGTCTTCACTTCCTAAGCTGTTTTATTCAATCAAAGTATTATTTGTACTAAATTCCTTAGCACCATATCTGGTATATAATAGGTACTCAATGACTGTTGAATGAATCTCATAGTGTGTAAAGGAAAAATTACATTCTTTCTTAGAAACTAAGCATACTAGTTGAATTGTGCATGAATGGTAAGTTGACTTATTAATAGCAAAGAATAGGGACCTGAAGAGATGATTCAATACTCAGGGTCTAGATCCCCAACATCCACTTTGAAAACACAGGCACGGCAGCACATATTTGTAATCCCATTGCTGGGGAGGCAGAGACAGGCAGACCCTAGAGCTTGATGGCCAGTCAGCCTGGGAAATCATTGGGCATCAGGTTCAGTGAGAGACCCTGTCTCAAAAAGTGGAGGGAGGGGTTGGAGAGATGGCTCAGTGGTTAAGAGCATTGGATGCTCTTGCAGAGGACCCGGGTTCGATTCTCAGCAACCATATACTGGCTAACAACCATATATAACTCCAGTGCCAGGGGATCTGACACCCTTTTCTGGCCTCCACAGACTTGCTCTCCAGAGGCTTGTTAGCCAGGTGTGGTAGCACACACTTGGAATCTGATTCCTCAGGAGCCAAAAGCAGAGGAGTTCAAGGCCAGTCTCAGATGCATAGTGAGTTTGAAAACAGCGTGGACTATAGGAGACACCAAACAAAATACAAAGAAACAATAAATAGCACCATTGACATGAATTTGATTTTACTCATTTGTATCATAGAAAATAAAAGGAAGATGTTTATTTTTAAGGGTATTTGGAAAATACAGAAATAATATAAAGAAGATAATTACAAATCTCTGAAACTAATAAATGAGAAGAGTATTACTCAGTATTTTAGATAAATTTATTTGGGAAGTGAATTTAATTCTTTTATAGCTTCTTAATAAAAGTTGTCTGTTAGATACCTATTTTTCATTTTGAAGGTGACTGCCTGATTTTTTTCCTAGCAACTCACTGTCTGATTCTTAAAACTCCTTAATTACTCATTAATTTGTACTCTTTAATGCACTGAATGCCTTGATTTGACTAGCTTATGGGACTCTCTCATTGTTTTGTCAGTAGGTCGAGAACAATTCAGTACTAATGCCACAGGGATGCTCAGAAAAATCTCTTCTGATGAATGGGAGAGTCAGATGTGGCAAGAGAAAAAGCTTGCTATAAAAGACCACCTACATTACAGCCAAGTTTATCCTGAAAGTATTCCATGGAAATTTATTTTGAAGCATGTAAAGTTTCTTACTCAACAATATAATTCTTAGCCTGCAAAATACATACCCCCAGAAGGAAACCCCACCAAACTCAATGAATTTCAGACTGCCTGCAGCCTTGGACATTTTGAAATAACCATCCTAGGTAAGTGAACTGTTCTTTTCTCTTTGAATACTATTAATTTAACATACTTACATATTCAAATATAGATATAATTTTGCATTAAACATTTAAGCCCATCCACTATACACAAGCCCAAGGGGATGGCTCAAACCAAGAACGGAAGTACTGATTGAGTAATAAATGAAGTTCAAGATATGGGCTTTTCCAGCCTGGTAAGTGTGTGGAAAATTTGGGAAGACAAGAGTGGAAACTAAAGGCACTTTCCTGTACCCCTGATTATCTGACTATTGTTGATTTTTACATCTGTAGTATTAATGCGAATGGCCTTGTCTTTTATCAAAGGACTTTTTTTCTTTTATTCTCCTCTATCCTGACTTTCCCATCTCCTCACATATAAATATGTACATGCATAAATCTCCCTTATAGTGAGAGACCTAAAGTTCTGACACTCTTCACTCTATTACATGGCTTGATCTCTGGAAGTAATTTATCAGCCTTTGTTTGATATCTAGGAAACAAAAATCAAAGCAAGATTTCCCATATATCACCCAAAGTAACCATGGAAAAAGAGTCATAAACACAGAGACTGATTTTTTCTTTCCTTTAACATATTGCAGATTCATTGAAACATTGACTGTACATCTCAGCTGACACACAGGTAGTTGTCACTTTTTGTTAGCTTTGGCTATGAGTCAGCTAAAAGCCAAAAATCAAACATAAAGAATACAAATTTGTCATTCTGTTCACCAATTGAATCTGTTAGAAATTTACTATTTTATATAAATTTTATCTTACCCGTTTTCAAGGATGGCTTAAAGGTAAAATACAGTGAAACATAAGTCATTTATAAATTTTAAGGAAAGCATAAGATGTAAGTTAAGATAACCAGAGTACCACCATTTGGCAGTAATTTTCCTTGAGCCTTTCTGGCACGGAAAAAAAGGCTTTTTGTTATTGATTTCTGATTGCATATTCAATTATAGAGCTAAAAGGAACTTGATGGCTTCAAGTCTCACACTCTGTATAGAAAGCAAGCCATGATTAAAAATCAAATCTCTTGCCAGGCGTGGTGGCACACACCTTTAATTCCAGCACTCAGGAGGCAGAGGCAGGCAGATCTCTGTGAGTTCAAGGCCAGCCTAGTCTAAATAGTGAGTTCCAGGATAGCTGGGGCTACAGGGAGACCCTGTCTTAAAAAGACCAAAAAAATCATATCTCTTGATTCTCTAAAACTCTCTGTTTCAGAGAAAATAAACATTCAAATATAGGAATCTTGTTACATTTTTCTTCAAATAAAATTCAAGTCTAAATGTGCCATATAAAATTATTTAATTAGCACAGAGTAACAAATGAGCTTATTTCTTCAACTACAGTTTTGTTTTTCAAAGGTATGAAAATATCTTTCTGATACTTGATATCTTTTTAAATATTTTATTTAAAAATTAATAAATATTTTATTTATTATTTTTATTTTTTGTGTATGTGTGTAATGCGTGCATGTTATATAAGTACACTTGTGTGGTACAATGACAATGGAGGTCAGAAGAGGGCATCAGATACCCTGGAACTGGAATTACAGACAGTTGTTAGACACCATGTGAGTACTGGGAACTGAACCCAGGTCCTCAGCAAGAACAGCCAGTGCTCTTAACTGCTGAGCCATCTGTCCAGCCCCTGAGATTTGATATGTTAATCAACCTTATACGTAATCATGATAATGACTGGTCATTTAAATAAGTCACTTCATTAAATGAGTATGATTTTAGTATATCATTTTATAAGGCATGAATTCTGGTTTCTAATGGTTTAACTTAATACAGAGATTAAAATTGATAGAACTAAGATACATGGTACTGGGTTGTTTATTGTCTTATAACCTTGGTGAGAGGGTATTGCCTGTCAACATCAATCTGAGTTTAGTCCAGTGTGTAAATAGTTTTTTCCAGATCTGAAGCTATTAGGCACACGTTAAGATCAAACCAGGAAACTTGGTCTGATTACAAAAATATAGTATCCCACTGAACATTTAATAATGTGTGACTTTTCTCTTACAGGTCTGAACCATGAGACAACAATTGATCTTGCATTCCTACCCATGTATTCTCCAGAAGATGTTCGAACATCTCAAATAGACACGTTTTTGAACTGCATGAATTACAGCTATGTATCAACCAGATGTACCTGTCAGTGTACATGTGCCAAATCCCAAGGAAATTGCAGGTAATGTGGTTTCAGTGTTCATTCAGAAAATAAATACTTTAAATGATCTTAACCTTTTCCCTGTTGTAGGTTCTCCTCAGGCCAGCTGTGAAGACCCTAACCTGGATTGGGTCCCCTGCCGATTAGGGGGTAAGAGGCGCGGGGTCACGACACACAAACCCCGGGAGTAGAAGCAAGCACTAGGCGAGGTGCTGCAGACTCATTTAATGCAGGAGGAGGCACACCTTATATCTCCCTTTTCTCTGCCCCCAAGTCCCTTTAGTCAGCGTATCGTATTCTCATTGGTCCGCGCCACACAGTCTGTCAGTAGTCACTGGGCTCGCGAGCAGGGTACGGAGGCGTGGGCTCCTTTTGGCGGGCTATTTGCAGACCAAGAAGTGAAGTGGATTCCTGCCGAATCCCAGGGCTCTGGGTCCGCGCCATCTTTGGAGGCCTCCTGCTACATTTCCCTATGACAGAATTTAATTACGCAGACAACTATGGCCTTAATAGTGAATGTAGTTTAGTTAAAAGCTTATTTGCTAAGTGCAAGCATCCAAAACTTAAAAAATGAAACTATGAATTTTAAATACATTAGATTGTTTCTATTCCAAGAAGATATTAAAATATTTTCTTACAGTATAATTTGAAATATAAGTATTTCATCATACCTACATCATATGTAATTCTGTCCTTTTCTCCTTTAACTTGGGCAAAATTATTTGTCTTTTTTTGCCATATAATTGCCCCAAATTACATTACCTCAATAAGATAATATAAGTGTATTCTCACAAATGTTTAGGTATTCAAGTGCTATGCAGTCAATTCCTCAAGGACTCTTAAGGGTTTTGAAATCCCAATAGATGAAACTCTTCAGCTAGTTACGCTGCTTTATAAAAGACCGGGCTTTACATTATTTCTGTGTGCTTACAAAATTACTTCTTCAATTATAATTATCTTGTTTAATTTTGTAATTTCTATTTCTCTTTTTAACTTTTAAAACTCATTTTTATTGTTATGTGTATGACTGTTTTGGCTGCATATGTGTGCCTATGTCTACAAAGCCGGTGAAGGTCGCCAGAAGAGGGCATCAGAGCCCCTAGGACTGCAGTTACAGATGGCATCTTGTTTAATTTTTTGTCATTTCTATTTGTCTTTTTTTAACTTTTAAAATTCATTTTTCTTGTTGTGTATGACTCTTTTGGCAATGCCTATGGGGGCCAGAAGAGGACATCAGAGCCCCAGGAACTGTAGTTATAGATGGTTGTTAGCCTCCAAGTGGTTTCTGGGAACTGAACCTGAGTCTTCTGCAAGAGCAGCCGGTGCTCTCACACACTCAGCCATCTCTCCAGCCCCTCATTTCATTTCTTAAGCAAGTGGTACCATTTCTAGCTATTTTCATTGATCTCAACAAGATAATACATTTAAAAGAACATTTAAGACAGCCTTATTATACTGGGATTTTTCTGGTGAGTCTTTCTAAGATGATGAAACTGTGGATTATATGTTGATTTTGAGTCTGTCTTATGAGCTACACCTGATGATGAAGTCACTTGATATTAATGGTTATGCAAACTGAGCTTCAGTATCTAATTTTATGAAATTAAGCTTTTTTGATTTTCCTACAGTGCATTCCTGAGATGATTTATTAATTAACTTGTATTTCCTTCATTACTGCTCACTGGGCTTTCAGTAATCCCAAATGTCTTAGAATCTTAACATTTAGTTTAAATGTTCGTGTACTCATGTTCTTTTTTCATATAATATCCAGTGTGTCTCATGTTTCCTGGTATATGTCTATGCAGTTACTAATGGAAGACTGCAGGTCAGAGTTCTTGGTTATCTGCTTGTTGCTAGTGCTAGTATACTTCCAGTAGTCATTAGCACGGTCACATGAAGGACACAAATCACTCGAGGAGAAAAGTGAAGAGATAACTAAAAGCAGAGTGATTAATTGTGAGAGGACTATCATATTTTTTATGACACAGCATTAAAAATAATGCTATTGTCCAGTTGACTCTGTGTTAGTCACTGTATGTAGGCCTTTAACATAAGTTTTAACTAATTCTGATAGGAACCATGCCAAAGTGAACATTATTACGCTCTATTTACTAGTAACTAGATTGAAAATTAGAGCGTCTCACCAGCATGGGTCACAGAGTTAAAATTTGAACCTAGATTTTTCTGATTCCAAACTTTTCCATTCCTTTCATGATTCTAGCATGAAAGATCAAAATAGGCTCAGTGATACAATGCAGGGGTTCATGGGATAATGCTCTTGTCATCTTTTAAGCACAAAGTACTCTGTTTTATCACAAAAGCTCTTGACATTAATTATTCAAATTTTCTGACAGTTATAGAAAGATCGTGGGGAAAAGTGTAAGCTCCTCTCCTTGTCTTCCCAGGTCCAGCACTGCTCACTCATTTATACCATTGTTTCATAAAATAACATATATTAATCATAGTTCTCCAAACAAATGCACTCGTGGAGGTCAGAGGACAATGTACAAGAATCAGTTCTCTCCTTCTACCATGTGGATTCCAAGAAGTCAAATGCAAGTGGTCTACGTTACCCCCATGTACCCTTACCCTCTGAAACATCTTGGAAGTTCCTATTTTGTTCTGGTCTGTTGTGTTGTATAATATTGTGTTTTTGTTAACAGCTGTCCTAATGGGTAGAGAGTAGTATTTCTTTGTGGTTTTGTTTTTCATTTCTGTAATTACTAATGATTTGAGCAACAATTTGTATGAATAGGGACCATATTTATATCTTCTTTGGAGAAAATTCTATTCAGAATCTTTGCTCATCTTTTAACTTTTAGAGGATAAATTATCATTGATATGACTTAATTTTATAGCTTGAAATTTTAATCCATTTAGAACTTATTTCTTGGAGAGTGTGAGATAGGGATCCAGCTTTATTATTTTTACAAATGATTAGCCTTTTATCCCAAATCATGTAGCTTATAAAGCTGACTAAACTGAAGTCTTTTCTTGGTATCACCTTGGTATAAGTGTGTGTGTGTGTATGTGTGTGTGTTTGTGTGTTTTCTACACTTGAAAACACTATGCTAACATATCCATTGATCAACATTTAAGAACTATAACATAATATGGAAGAGTTTTCACACATTTAGAAAAACACCATTATTCTGTAGGTAATTAGGGTTTCCCATATTGCCTTCAGGAACAAGAATACCACACTGCATTATAAAATAGGTTGGACTGTAGTGCAGTTACAAAGCAGCTCTAATGTCACCATGACTTAACACAATTGCAGTTTATTTGTTGCTCAAGTGTAATGCAATCAGTCAGCAACTCCCTTCTTTGGAACCCAGTGTACTTCCTTCTTGCTGCTACCCCAGCAGGAGAAAATGGCTTCTAGCATTGTCAAGGCAAATACAAAAAGATGAAGGAGATGGTCGTTTTTATTATTTTGGACCAGAAAGCACTCCAACTCATATTCTTTATTTTCCAGAACTGTTATATGATAGCACCGCAGCAACAAGAGAGACCAGGCTACTTTCTCTTCCCATGATCAAGATAGAAAACAGCCAGAACACATGAGGTTTCCTTTGTCACATTCCCTTAATACATTCTTATTTTCCTGAAAATATGTAGTTCTTGTAATTCTAACAACTTGGTGTAACATTTACAGAAGCTTACTTTTTTAAAGTAAAATACATAGTCTTTTTTCACAACTTCTGTGATATAATTAATATCTCAATTTTATAATAGGTCTTTAAAAATAATATAAAAGTGCTTTTTGTATGTCAGTCATCACCTAAGAGCTTGATGTGTATTTAATCTTTAAAACAGAAACAGTCTATGATGTAGATATTAGCAAACTGGACATGCAAAAGTTAACAAAGTATTACAAAACTGGCAGAGTTACTCATTTGAACTCAGTAAAGGTGACAGCATGAACAAGTCCCACGTAAGCTGAAGCCTGACAAATCCCAGTATAGACATGGAGAAGTGGGTAAGAAACTCCAAGCCAACCTGCAGAACTACTGGCAATGGATAACTGCTGGGAGTGGAGGAGTCAGACTTTTTAAAAACTATTTTATTTATTATTTTTATTTTAGGTGTATGAGTGTATTGCCTCCATGTATGTGAGTGGACCCATGTCGTACAGTGTCGCGGAGGTCAGAAGAGGGCATTTGGGGACAGAAATTTGACTCTATAGGACTATATAGATAGAGAGCTAGAGAGCGAGAGTGAGCAAGGGAGGGAATGAGGGAGAGAGGACAGACAGATAGATAGATAGATAGATAGATAGATAGATAGATAGATAGATAGATAGATAGATAGATAGTGTGTATTATTAAAGTACATGAAATTGGGCAGAGATAGATAGTAAGGGGGTGCAGATAGGGGAGGAGCGCTAAATACAATTAAAATACATTGTATGAAATTTACAAAAATTCAATAAAAAGGAATAAAAATACCAAGAAAAAGTTGGGAAGTTGAATAATATTGGGAGTATATGATTTGCTTGCATATGTCCTATTGTGGATGAGTCTTTTGAAACTTGGATATCTGAGACGTCATTAACTAAAACAAATATATAGCAATACAAATAATTTTAAAAGATTAGGGATATTGATGATTTTGTAAGAAAAAAATCACCAGTTTGGGTGATTCTAAATCCAAGTCAATATTTAACTATTTTACAGTAGTTACCATCTTTTTTCTCACTTTTAAGTGATATTATAAACGCAGCAGCTGACCTGGATCAAGTCCATATCATCTGTATCTTGGATATCTGTAATTTGGGCAACAATAAAGTGGAAGTCTGTTTGCAGAAGGTTTATACTCCACCAAAGGCTTCTTAACGATTAGCAAATTATTACAGATTATAAATATGATACTGCTTTAAAGATATATTGTTATTTTATTGGCGTTTTCATTAAGGGTTTTCAGCAAGAATATTAGATGGCCTTGAAACCTAAGCGATTTTATGTTTGTCTTGTATTTGGAGCTAACTCACTTCATATTACATTCATTATTGGAGAAAGTCATCAAAACTATTTTATGTCTCAGAAATTATTTTTCTTTTATGTGATTATTGGCTTGTAATAATTCATTAATTGTTACTTTTGCAAAGTATATTTTTAAAGTCTCAGTGAAATACATCCTGACTTAAAAAAATTTAACATCTTCCCAATTTTATTCACATACATTGACAAGTTTTGCATTGCAAATTTAAAAGATTAAATTTTTGTTCTCCTAAAGTGGTCAACCTGCATTTTTTGTAAGCAAAGTAGTCCCTACCATTTCCAGAAGCACACACATGGATTGTAAAAGTCTGCTTACTATAAAATGAATATGCTTAATTAATTTGTCATCGAAATTTTCAACTTCTTAATGAGATTTTCTTTGCTTTGAATTTCCAAATATTTTGGCAAATGTAATTTCTAAATTCAGAGGCTGCAATATACCTATATTTTTGCTGTATTCATTTATAGTTTCAGTGTATGAGTGTGAATGTGACTGAATTCAGTAAATATGACTGAATTTAGACAGTGAGATTTTATCACACATTAACATCTGAAGGGCTCATATTCAAAGTATAAAACAGTAACTAAGGGAATTTATTTCATTCTGGTTTTATACTACACTTCATTTTAAAGGTAAACGGTAACTCTACAAATGTAAGGCCCTGTGTCTGACACCTATGTGGTTCAGTAGATGAGCGAAAAAAACAGTCAAATGAGATTAAATATTCTTCTGTATTATCAAGAAGAATCTGATTGTAGTCAGGCTGTAAACTTATGGTATTTCCTTATAGGCCTGTAATTTTGTGACTTCATATGCCTTACAGATTTAATGTGGTGGATGGCCTCTGTACTTAAAGACATACTGTACATTTTTTATAAAGTGTTCAGTATTCTTTATGACTGTGTGTAAGTGTTCATTAGAACTGTGAATCTCTGTGTTATGATTTTAAGAGTATTATTAAAAAAGTTAATATGCAATGACTCATATGGTCTCCTGTCTCATTCTGAATGGAGTTGATGTGTGTCCTCCATATTGTAGGGATACATATGTGTTTACTAAGTGATCCAAGATGATTTTTCCTTGGGGATTTGAAGACCGTTGTTTATCAGATAGAGTTTGAAAATTTTGGGTACGCTATAAACAGTTTCTAAAGGGAAATTCAATTTTAGAATCTTAGGGCCACATCCATATGGGTGTAGGGGAAAACTGAAATAGCTATTAACTGAAAACCACAGGCAAAGACATAAAAAAAACTTTACACACGGGTAAGTTTCAGTCTTAGATTGAATGGGAAATAACTATTTTCAAATTATTGGAGCTTTCAAAACAACTTCTCCTTGGAATTTTTGTTCTAGTAATGTATCTATCCAAATTTGGAATTAAGCATCTGTGTTCATATTTTAGGATTTTGCAAAAGTAGGCCATTACTATGGCAGTTTCCCAAGAAAAGTATCAAATCATTATCAGAAAAAATTATTTCAAGTAGTTATATGTATTTCTAAAACAATTCAAATACACTAATATGAGTTTATCTTCAATGAACAAGTCAATTGGTAAATAATATAATATGTAGACTGCTTAAGGATCATGATCTCTTGCTGGAATTTCTTACATGGGATGGAAAATATGTTCCATATATGTAAAATGTCAAAGGGCCAATTTGACGACATGATCTCTGCCAAGTATATATTTTTAGTTTTTTAAATTGTGTGTGTGAGAGCACGTGCAAATATAAGGGCATGTACCCTCAGAATCCAGAGGAGAACGTCAGATCCCCTGAAACTAGAGTCACAGGTGGTTGTGAGCTGCCTCACCTGGATGCTAGGGACCAAACTCAGGTCCTCTGCAAGAGCAGGAAATGCTCTTAACCATTAAGCCATCTCAGCAGCGTTCTGCCAAAATATTTTTATTCCTTGTTGGAACGATCCTTTTTAATCATATTAAGAAGAAGGTTCTAAGAACATTTGAAATTCACATTTGCTAACAATATTATTTGATATTGACTATGAACTTATCTTTTAAATCTTTGAGTTTGCTTGCAAAGTAATGGGTTTCATCATGTCATTTTCTCATGTGTTCCCCTCCTACACTCTTCCATTCAATTCCTTTCCTCCCCCCAGTTAGTCCCCCCTCCTAATTTCTTATCACATTTTCCATTATTTCTTTATTTCCTACCTCTCTTAAGAGTGCTTCCTCCCTTCTCATGATCCTGTTTCTAATTTGTCACTCACACACACACACACACATGCACACACAATTTTAAATATAGGTTCCATATATTAATGCAAATGTGGTAGTTCATTTTGATACTGGCCTATGTCATTTAACAATGATTTCCAGTTGTGTTCATTTTCCTACAAATATCGTGATTTCACTTTTTATAGCTGAGTAAAATTCCATTATATATATATATACACACATATATATACACCACATTTTCTATATCCATTCTTCTGTTGATAGACATCTAGACATCTATTTCCCATTTCCCGGCTACTGTGACTAATGCAACAATAAACATGGGTGTGCAAGTATTTCTGTGGTATGTTGACTTAGAATCCTTTGGGTATATACCACAGGGTGGTATAGCTGCTTCATATGATAACTCTATTTTTATTTTGAGGAAGCTGCATTCTGATTTCCATAGTGGCTGCATAAGTTCACACACCATCAAAAAATGGTTCCTCTTTCATCATATACTCGCCAATATTCATTGTTGTCTGTAGTTAGGCTTTATGATGGCAACAACTCTGGCTGGGCAAGATGGAATCTCACAGTACTTTTAATTTGTATTTCTTAGATAGCTAAGGATGCTTAACACATTTTTCAGGTATTTATTGACCATTTCTATTTATTATTTTGAAAGATATCTATTCAGATCATTAATTCATTTATGAGTTGGTTGGTTTGGATTTTTGGTGTTTCATTTTTGTAGTTCTTTATGTTGGATATTAATCCTGTCAGAGGTATAGTTTGCAGAAATATTCTCCCATTTTTAGCCAGTCTCTTTACTGTGGTGGTTATTTCCTTTGTTTCTTTTGAAAAATAATTTATTATTTTATGTGGATGAATGTATTGCCTGCATGTATGTAAGTGCATTTGTGTTGCGCAGTGCCCACGGAGTTCAGAAAAGGGTGTTGGGTCCCCTGGAACCCGAATCACAGACAGTTGTTAGCTGCCATGTGGATGCTGGGAACCAAACCTGGGTCCTCTGCAAGAGTAGCCGGTGTTCTTAACTGCTGAACCATCTCTCCAGCATCATTTCCTTTGCATCTTAATTTCATGTAATCCCATGATACATGATACATGTATCATGGTGATACATGCCTTTAATCCTAGCACTCTAGAAGCAGCGGCAGTCAGATCTTTATGAAATTGAGGCCGGCTTTGTTTACATAGTGAGTTCCAGGACAGCTAGGGCTACAGGAAGACCCTGTCTTCAAAAAACAAAAAACCAGTTAGACAAAAATTAGATTTGAAGATCATGTGATGTTTCTAGTGACTTGAGATTATATTTTAATTTGTGCCATGTCTCCACAAAAGAAACACTAGTGAGAGAAATGCTTTCTTTTGATGTATGTCATACAACACATATCTGTTATTCTTACATTGTTACAGTAATGCCACCTCTAGCCTGAACTTTTTGCTTTCCTTTATCCCTCTCTCTCTCCCTCTTCCAGTCCCTCCCCTCCCTCTACCCTTCCTCTCTCTGCATTGAAACAAGTATTTTTGAAGCTAGCCATTACTTTGCTCCTAAATTCCTGTGGGATTTTGATGAAATCTACTTAAACAACTTGATCTCAGTTAACTTATTTATAACATTTGCAAAATAACGGACCCATCAAGTTCTATGTTTCTTTTGGTTTGTTTGTATAACTGTTAGTGTACTATACATGTCTTTGAATTATAAAGATATGATTCATGAAAATGTGGTTTGCCTGTTAAGAACATATGAAAGTTACTAAAACACTTATCAGTTATAACAGCTCACTATATTCAATTTTTAAAATTTTTTTAAAATTTCATTTTTATTTTACGTGTCCAAGTTTTTGCCTGCATGTATGTAAGTGTACCACATGTGTGTAATGCCCACAGAGGCCAGAAGAAGGAATCAGAGCCCCTGGAACTGCAGATACAGTTGATAGCTGCCATGTGGGTGCTAGGATCCAAACACAGATCCTCTTCAAGAGCAGCCAGTGCTCCTAACCACTGAGAAATCTCTCTAGCCTCCATTAAAATCTTATAATTCCACTTATTTTATTGCAGTATTATATACATGTGTACATATATGCATGTACATTTTCAGTGTTAATAATTAAGAAAAAAATTATATTTTTCATTTCATATATATAGTGCATTTTAGTAATTTCCATCTCAGACCATTATGGATTCTCAAGCCTTCTCTCTCATCTGATGAAATCTTCCTTCATTCTAAGAAGCCACTCTTCAATTTTCATGTCTTTTATTGTTTGTGTGATCCACTGAATTTACTCAAGCTTTTTTGTATGACCGTAGGTGGGAGATTATTGACTGGTGTATGGACTACTTTTCAGTGTTCAGCAACCACTAACTGCCAATAGTCCTTAAGGGATGGGTGGCAATACTTTTTTGATATTTTTAAAAATATTTTTACTTAGTTTTTGAAAATTTCATACACGTATGCAATGTATTTTGGTCATATCCACATCTCACTGCCCCCCCATTCAGTTTCTCAGAAACCTTCCCCTCAGCATGACTCCCTTCCAATCTCATATACCATTTTTATTTTTTTGGACAACCCACTGAATCCAATTAGTACTGCTAATATGCACATGAGTGTTGGGCCATCCACTAA